AACTCTTATCCAAATAATTTTGACAAGGAAGAAATATACGAGCAGCATGAGGCGAGATTTCTGTTTACAAGAACTAATCAACATGCAACTGGTGACATCTGCCCATTAACACCCAAAGTAAAATCTCTCGTAAACATCAAGCCACACAGATTCACAGGCTAGATCCACTTCAGTTTCTCCGCCTATATCCTATAGCATTCTTACTGCAACCCTTGGACGCGTAAAAAAATAAAACTCAATGATCCACGAAAGAATTGGCATAACAGAACGAAAACTCTCAGCGATTGTTCAAACTCCTAACAGAAAAAGATGAAGAAACAGACGAAATCTCAAACACAGCAAACGAACGAGCAAAAACGTCAACCAGTGAGAAAATTCGCAGCAGAAACTTTAAGAAATGGATTATAACCAACAGATCTGATCGTAAATTCAAACCAAACAACAGATGTGATAAGCAACACAGTATCAGATCTCAGGCGAGCAGAGGCAAAAGACAAAGAAATCAAGTGGCGATTGGATAACATCTCAGATCAACTAGATGAGCATCAGTAGAACCGAAAAGAAAGAAATGCAATGGTTTCAGTACAGTACCTGCAGCTCCAGTAACGAGGACTCTAACAGGTTGTTTTGCCATGGCTGAGGACGAATCGAAACGAGAGCCGGAGAAGAAGAAGATTGAAGAACGCGAATCAGTGGGGGTTGTAGAGGAAGAAGAAGAAGAAGAAGAAGAAGGGATATTTATTGGCGTGAAGAAACAGAAGACACTGAAACCTAAGGGAGCAGAAATTTCTCTGGTCACCAATCAAACGACGCCGTCACCACGACCGGGGCTTGACGGCCGTCAAGTCACGGTTTTAACGGTGCTGACTTGGCGGAAAAACAGGTCTCTGTCTGAACGCGCGTGGGATCATCGTGATGCGCGCGTCAAGCATATTCCGCTTCAGATGCGACAGCGGGAAACTACATGTCGTAGCGGTGGGCCATTAAGATTACAACTACATGTCGTAGCGGTGGGCATTTCACGAAATGATTAAATATCGCTTCAACTTTAATTTATTTGTGGCTGTGAGGCTGACGCTTTTCAACTGAAAATTTGAGTGCCGGAAAAAGAAAAATGATTTGAGTTTATTTGACGAAAGAGATTGAAAATAAGCTTTTTATTTTTGTCAAACTTTATTTTCTAATAGATGCAACCCGTATGTTTCCTAGATTTTTATGCCAAAATAATATAAGTTATGGAATGTATTACAAAATTAACTCAGTTCAATTAAGTAAGACAATCAATAGATTTTTATGCCAAAATAATATAAGTTATGGAATGTATTACAAAATTAACTCAGTTCAATTAAGTAAGACAATCAATAGTGAGAAGCTCATACAGCGGACTGTTAGTTCAGTGGTAAATCACATCGTTGATATTCAGTGGTAAATCATGTCCTTGATAATTGTATCATTGTGCCTGGACTGTGAAATCTTATTGATTGATTCACGGTGCCGCCCTCCTACTTATAATCCAAAAAAAAAGTTGGGTTTTATGAGCTTACATTTATGTCACCAGTAGGATTGACACACTCATAATTTGATTGAACTGAACACTCATAATTTGAAATAAACAAATTTATATACAAAATATATGTTCAACTGTGTTACACAAATCTAACTCATTAGCCAAATAACTCACAATATATTACCACACTTTTTTTTTTGTTGGAAGAATAACAATCTGCCAGTTTCGTTTAGAGGAATTTACATCTATACTTCAGAAGTTTTCATCTCAGACATCTATCGTACAGTGGAAGGATTTTCACCTGTTTGATTTGTGGGCTCAAACTGCATACAACTTTATGACTTGATTAATCTTGGTGCGACAAACTGGGCAGCCCCAGTTCTTGGCCTTGACCTCATTCAGACAAGACATACATCCAGCCATATGGCCACAGGGCACGCATGCTCCCTCCACTGGGGCATCCAAACATATCACACACGACGAGCTGCCACTGCTTTGATTCATTTGATTCTCAGTGAATGAATATGGTACGTCATCTACGGGATGAGAATTGACTAACGGGTAGTCGACTGTACTGGTGCCAGCCTCGAAAAGTCTGGTTGCACCTGGTGGAGCTGAGGGGACTGCATTTGGAGGGTGTGTCATCTGGGTGACAAGGACCGTGTTGTTCAGCGTCTCGGCGTGATGGCTTGGATTGTAACCGTGGCTAGCTTCATGAGCTGTCCATTTGTCGGTACCTGTTTGCGGAGGCACATGTGGGGGTAGCTGGCTACTACTGGAGGAACCTACCTCAGAACATGAGTGGGGAGTATGAAGCCGTGCTCCTTCCTGCGCAGCTGACTGAATGGAGGCATTTATGGCCATTGCAAGCTCCGGATCTTCCACACCGGCCGGTACAGTCGCAATGTTGATCGGGCTCTGGTGATTATGCCAAATTGTAGGCTGCACCACCTGAAATTTCAAAACAGTTCTTGATGTGTTATCATCAACCTCAGAGCAACATTCAATGGCTACACCGGGCTTACAGGCTTAGCCAAAAAAAAAAGCACTTCAAAGACAGAGGACACCGATGAGTACACATGAAGAAATTATTCCAGAGTTTATAGTACTAAACCTCTTAGGAATGGCGCTAAAAAACTGTTCTCGATTTTTTTTTTTTACAATACTGTATTTCGAATACTAAAATCCATTTGGATAATGAATTTGATAAAGTTAGTTTACAGTTAAGTTTTCTCAAGACGGTATGGATATGCAAAACCAAAAGCTTAAGGATAATTTAAAACCTTCAGGTGTAAATTAGATATAAAACTTTAAAATCATAATTTTTCATATTATCTTTTTAAATATAAGACGAGGGGAGACCTCCTTTCTTCTTTGCTCTGCCTTGGGTTTCAGTTGAAAAAAGAAAAGGAATAGTACCTTTGGCTGAGGAATTCCTTTGCAAGCATCACAAAACCATTGAAGTTGTTGTCTGTCATACTCATTGGCAGGTGCAAGTCGAAGACGTATTGCTGCAAAAACCAGAAATGAAACAGAAATACTTGCTACATCTCAAAAATAACAGCAAAAATATGATTTCATGTGCTGAAGAATTTGGAGTATGGAAAAACAGTGAGTATATATATAAGACATTTTGGTATTTAAAACACAAAACTTTCCGAACTCTATAATTTATGTTGCAGGTAATTTTCAAACATTAAGTACGTGAACAATTGATTTTTAAACAGAAGCATATGAACGAATATTTTCATGCGTACTCTTTGATTTTCGAAATCGACTTCTGGTCTCCCAGGAAGTGTGACAACTCCGTCTTCGCCTCCTTCCTTTTGAAACTAAGTCTGAGAGCAAAGTTGAGACCAATAAATAAAAGAAAAATGAAGAAGTCGTTAACTTATATTGAAATAGGGTGTCTTCCAGCAATAAGAAATTACTTGGAGAGTTGTCGACAATAACAACAGACGGGTCAGCTTCCTGTATCTTATGTTCTTCTAAATATGATTTCCACAATGGAATAATTGCACGTGGTTGAGCATCCTGTCCATCATGAGCGAGACAATGTAGAGTCCCCCGGTATAAGTAGTATAACAACATAAAATAAAAACAGAAGTATCTCATTCACGATAAATTACATCAGATCAGAGCAGTAAAGACAGATTTTCAGAACACTCGCAGGAACCAACCTTTTTAATTTTATTCCAAATGTTCACCAAGCGGTATATTCCCTTTTCTTTTTCAAAACAAATAGGAGCTAGCTTATACGGTCTAAAAAAGAAACTCCCTTACTATCCTATATATGCCATAGCTGATCCAGAGATGAAATGATTACCAGTTTGATTCAACTGCCAAAAGAAAAAGATAGATACATAAAATAAAATCTTCTTGCTGGAAACCAGAAACTGGTGAAACGTTTTGCAAGAATGACATAGAAGTTCTATGAATCATTCAAAGGGCTTGGAACTAAGGATATGGCATAAAACTCACACCAGATTTGACCAGCAGAGCCCTATTTCTTTCTCTCACTCTCCCTCCCTATTGTGACCTTGATATAAATCATATATATTCATTTTCTAGAGGCCAGAAAAGGAACTGTTTCTGAATCAGAATAATTATTAAATACAGTCAGAGGAAGAAGAAGAGCGACATATGTTAGAACCATACCTGCAAGCTACTATATATGGCAAGCTCCAACTTATTAGGCTTCATATGATTTCGAGAGCCACAATGTAAAACGACTACCCAACTGCAGACATTGATTGTAAAGTACAGGTTATATCGTGCATAAAATCGTTCATGGCTTTACAGAAAAACTGGACAAAAGATTTCGTCAATATAAATATCAAAAGATAGTGTAGTGGAAAAAATTACTTAATGGCTTCAACTGCAAACATACAAGGAGAGTACCAATATAAATGGAAAAAGAGGAGAGGATAAACATGACTAAAATCACTTGGAAAAAGTACTCACACTTTTCTCGAAAGGAGATGAGGAGCTAGTACTTCGAGAAACTCCGGCCCATAAAATTCCCGCATCCAACCAGAGAACAGACTCATATGATTCTACAAAACGTCATAAGAAGCATCCTCTTCAGAACAGAAATTGGTAAGAAGATGAAGTTGCTAGTTGTTAGGTTAAAAGACAGCTTCAACACCATTAAAAAGCCATTTTTGTGTTAAAGAACATATGTGTAAGAGATGAAATATATCCGAACCTATTAATTTAAGCATTCAAGTGCAATGGTAATTTAACATAGTATCAAACCAAGAGGCCCTACCCCTGATATGACGTAATTTTCTCCTCCATTGATACTAATAGTTCAATGGTTCGATTTCGTAAATCAAATTAACATCTGAGACGTAATATGAAGGGTATTAAATATATATAAAAAATAATATTTATTCTAACCTCAATGGCACGAACAACATTCTTGTGCCTTGCTTCTCTCGCAACTTCCAATGGAGTTTGACAAGCATCGTTAATTATCAAAGTATTTGCTGGCAATTGGAACAACAGTTAGCAATTTTTATAGCGAAAATGGAGGCTGTGTAAACGATTATCAGATAATGGATGTAGACCAAGTTATTATATTCATGTAACAAAAATAAACAAACCTCTGTAAGAAAGAAGTAATTTAACAGTGTTTTCCAAGCCTCTTCTAGCAGCATGGTGTAACGGCGTCCCACCATTACGGCCTATTAGAACATGAAGCCAGCATCAAAGAGTTACAAGAGAATAAACAACTACAGCCCAATTTAAACATATGTCCCACAAGCACTAAATTCCAATAACAAACTGATATGAAAAGATGAAATATTAAACTCATTGGATAAATTGCCATAAAATATCCAATATGTAAGGCTCCATTTCATAACTATTTGGTTTTTTATTTTTAGTTTTTGAAAATTAAGCTTATAAACACTAATTTCACGTCCACCTGTGTGTATTTTTGTTTTGTTATTATCTTTCTAAAAATGCCTTCAAAATCTAAGCTAAATTATGAAAACTCAAAAATATAAGTCTCATTTGATAACTATTTTGTTTCTAATTCTATATTTTACAAAATTATGTTTGTTTACTCACCAGTATTTAAGCATATTTTTCACTTAAAAACATATTTGATTTCTAACCCGAATTTCAAAAACAAAAACAAGTTTATAAAAACTACTTTTTCTTAGTTTTCAAAATTTAGCTTAGGTTTTAAAAACATTTTAAAACGTTGATGACAAACCAAAATAATAAAAAAATACATGGGTAAAAGTAGTATTTATAAGCTTAATTTTGAAAAACATTTAAAAAAAAAAAGAACAAAAGCCTATAGTTTTTAAAATTTTTATTTCTGTTTACAAATTTTGACTCATAATTCAAATATATGTTTAAGAAAAGTTTAAAATATATCAAAGAAATAGTGAGAAAGTAAGCATAATTTTGAAAAATAAATAAATAAAACTAAAAATGGAATCATTGTCAAAGAAGACCTAAAGCTTTCAATAATGTAACCAGAATTTTGAAGACACATGTATATGCATATCTGATAACTCATGTAATTGAAACCAAAAGTAACAACGGAAGGCACATTTTAACCAGATTTGAAGGCCCGTTCGTATAGTTGCAGGGATTGACTTGATAATTGAAAAAACAATCTGTAAATTCGTATCACGAATGTATAAAAAACTCACGAACATCACAAAGAAAGAAACTCGCAAACCTGGTCCAAACGCATTGACATTAGCGCCAAGTTCTAGTAACGTTTTCGCCACGTTGTAGAGCTCGGGATTCAAACAGGCAACGATCAAGGGGGTCTTTCCTTCCCTGTCAACCCACTACACCAAATGCCCCAAAAACAAGAACAAATTACATCAGACATGAGAACATAATACAACACAACAAAAACGCAAACAAATTCATCCACGACCGAATTAACAGATTGAGAAAAAGAATTTCAAATTAGAATCACCTCGAGAGTTGCACCTTCTGCAGCAAGGGCTTTGATTCCTTCAATATCGCCATTGCCGGCGCGCTGATACACGACCTCATCTTTGGACGCCTGCTGCCCCATTCGGAATCCAGATACAAACCTGACACGAGAATTGACGAAGAAGATAATTGAAATTTTTTCCAAAAAGAAATCTCTCGTTTGTCAGGTAGTATCAGGAAAATTGGAAGATTCAGAATGTGCGGAAAGGATTGTTCTAAAAATAAATCGAAAACCACGCAGGGGCTCAACTATAAACAAAATTTGTGAGAGTGGGTTACTTACCGGTGAAGAAGTTTGAAGAATGCGAGAGAAAAAAAATGGAGGACTTAGAAAAGGGGGAGTGACGTAATTTTAGAGAAATATTGGGGCTTCTTGGGAATTCTGAGGAAATTTCCTATCCGTCGTTTTCTCGCGTTTAATTCATTAATTAAGATCTAAAATAATGTGTAACGCTATGTTGTTCGGTGTTATCTCACTTGGGTTGGGTTCATTCAATGGACGCGTTTACGTCAAAACGACGGCGTCTTTAGTTTTTCTTTTTCCTTTTTTCTCAATTTTGTTTTTTACCCTTTAAATTTGTCAAAAATGTTGCCAACGTTGAGCCGTAATTAAAACTTACTCCTCCCGAAATCAAAAGTTCAACCTTGTACTCATAATTTATTGTACCGAAAAATTAGAGAAATGATGAGTCAGATCAAATGTTAAAAATATTTACTTATTTTACTAAGATCAAAAAAATCTTCATTTTCACTTGTACAATTAAACTACACTCGCTGCTTCCTACTTGTTTACAAGTGATTATAATATATAATTTACTAAGAATAAATAATTCATTAATTTTATTTTTTGTTTCATTTCTTCCCTCCCCATTGTCAAAGAGAGAAAATAATAATAATTTTATTCTACTTTCATCCCTCCCATTGTCAACGCACAAAAAATAATAATAACAAATTTAAAAATAGTCAAATGAAAATTAAGAGCCAATATTTGAATTAAGAAATGTATAAACATGAATATGTAATATAAGAACTAATTCAACAACCAGTCACACACAATAAATCTAATTTTAAATAAGGGAGAGTGTCTATTGAATTGAAATAAATACATTTAGTAACAAATACAAAAAGTTATTGGTAATATTTTTTGTCCCCAGGAATGAGAGATTGCTTTGAAATCATCTCCTTATACCCAACTCTTGATGACATGTTTCTATGAGAATTAAACTGGATCGATACAATAAGTTATATTACATAACTCATTTTATAGTCCCATCATCAAATTAAAGAAATTCAATAATATTCTAACTTTACATAACTCATTTTAGACGTTGATTTCGATTTTTTTTTTATAATTACTTTGCATAACTCAAATTACCTTACACTTAGCTCACTGAAGAGTGGCCCTTGGAAACTACTGCTATTTTAAGTAAAGAGTGTGCTGGTGTTTTATTTTAGTTGTATTTATTTTCTATATAAAAAAAACTTGAAAATTAGAGAGGAGTCTTCGAATAGCATTGCTGGGCCGAAAGGCCCAACATTTTTGAAGGTGGGTTCATCACATATATCCACTTATTGGGCTGTCCAAGAGAGAGGACCAACCAGGCCCAGTACAGCCTATATATTATATATAAACAAAATTGAAAAACAAAAATGAATTTGAGTTACCTTTCGAAGTGGACAAAAATTGAGGTGGATCTTTGAGAGTCCGTGCTGAACGTCCGTGGCGGCTCGAATATGCAGTAGTCAGAAACGCCATGGCAACTGGTGCGTCTTTTCGAGAATCTCTCCACCACGTATTCTGCCACCACTTCATTATGTGTTTGAACCACCGGCGACGCCACATCCATTTGTCATCCGTCACCGCCCCACCGCTCCTCCGCCGCCCTCTTATAAATACTCCCCCACCTTCCTCTACGTTCCTCACACCAACAACAGAACCAGCATCCTTCTTTTCTCCG